ATAACATGTTGTAGAATTGTGGTTTTAATTCATTCTGCTATCCACTTTCATTTTATGGGAGAGTTCATCCCATTCACATTCACAGTTATGATTACTATCTGTGTCTTTCTCTCCATCCTTCACCTCCCCAGTTTATGCTTTTCTTTCTCCTTTCTGCCTTTTCCTCCTCTCTAGAGTTTTTCTTTTGACCACTATCTTCCTCAATCTGCCCTCCCTTCTATCAGCCCCCTCCCTTTTCTTCCCCTTTCCTGTCCTAATTCCTATAGGGCAAGTTAGATTTCTATACCTAACTGATTATGTTATTCCCTCTTTGAGCCAAATCCAATGTGAGTAAGGTTCAAACAATACTCATCTCCCTCCTTCCTTTCCTTCTACTGTAATGGGTCTTTGTGCCTCTTCACATGATGTAATTTATCCTTTCCTCCCTCCTCTTTTCCTCTTCTCCCAGTATAATCCTTTTCCACCACTTAATTAGGTTTTTTATCATCACATCAAAGCCAACTTATACCATGCCCTCTGGCTATGTACACCCCTTCTAAATGTTGTAATGAAGATACAATTCTCAAGAGTTATAACTATCATCTACCCATGTAGGGATGTAAGCAGTTTGCCCTTACTGAATAACATGTTGATTTTTTTTCCCTTTCCTTTTTACCTTTGTATGGCTCTCAAAGAGTCTTGCTATTGAAGGTCAAATTTTCTATTGTGCTCTGGTCTTTTCATCAGGAAAGTCTGGAAGTCCCTTATTTCATTGAGTATGCATCTCTTCCCCTGAAAGATGATGCTCAATTTCACTGGGTAGTTGATCTTTGGTTGTAATCCAAGCTCCTTTGTCTCATGGAATATTATATTCCAAGCCCTCCAATCTTTTAATGTAGAAGCTGCAAGCTCCTACATAATCCTAACTGTGGTTCCACAATATTTGCATTGTTTCTTTCTGGCTGCTTGCAGTATTTTCTCCTTGACCTCCAGTTAAATTCTGGAATTTAGCTACAATATTCCTTGGCATTTTCAATTTGTGATCTCTTTAAAGAGGTGATAGGTTTATTATTTCTATGACTATTTTACCCTCTGGTTCTAGGACCTCAGGACAGTTTTCTTTAATGATTTCTTGAAAGATGCTGTCCAAGCTCTTTTTTGATCATGGCTTTCAGGTAGAGCAATAATTCTTAAATTATCTCTCCTGGATCTATTTTCCAGGTTAGTTGGTTTTCCAATGAGGTATTTTATGTTTTCTTCTATTTTTTCATTCTTTTGATTTTGTTTGACTGATTCTTGATGTCTCATAGAGTTATTAGCTTCAACTTGCCCAATTCCAGTTTTTAACGAATTCTTTTCTTCAGTTAGCTTTTGTACCTCCTTTTCCATTTGGCCAGTTCTACTTTTTAAGGAGTTGTTTTCTTCAATGCACTTTTTTCCACTTTGTCAATTGTATTTTTAAGTCAATTGTTCAATTTTTCTTCTACCTCTCTTATTTGACTTTTAAAATTCTTCTTGAGTTCTTCTAAGAAAGCTTTTTCAGCTTGAGACCAATTCATAGTCCCCTTTGAGGTTTCAGATGTCAGTATATTCATGTTATCTTCTCCTGAATTTGTGTTTTGATCTTCCCTTTCACCAAGATATTTCTCTATGGTCATTGTTTTTCTTTGTTGTTTCTCGCTCATGTTGTTTGCCTTTTTTTTGGCTTTTAAAGTTTATCTCTGCTTCTGGGGCACAAGGGGCATTGTCCCAGGTTTCTTGTGCTGAGGGCTAGGGTTCTGGTTACTGGTTTTTGTGTGCTGGGGCCTCAGGTGTTGATAGCTGGAGGCTGGAGGCATCTGGTAGTTTACCTGGTCCTGAGCTAGAGCTAGTGGTGGTGGCTGGTATGTGCCTGGTGTTGGCACTTGCCTGCTCCAACACCCTGGAGGTCAGGTTCTCCTGCTGGTTTGCTAAGGTGGGCCTTGCCACTGGCTTGCCAGGACATCTCCTATCCTGAACTGGTCCCTTTCAGCCACAGCAAGAGGGACCTTTCCATTAATCCCCCTCGTCTCCCAAGCTAAAAGACTGCTGTCCCTCATCTTTCTGCTGGCTCCACTATTGCAGGATTTTTCCTGGGGCAATTTTCTCTGGGTTTTTCAAGATCAATAAGGGAAGTTAAAAGCCACTTATTGCTCACTCTGCCATGTTGGCTCCCAGAAGTCGAAATAAGTGACTTTCAGACATTCCTTCTGTGGGCTGATAGCTCCAGAAGCAGCTGCTGCTGCTACTGATTCAGTCACTGGGGTCAGGGCTGCATTGGCTTCTCTCTCATGCAGTTCTGACAGATCCCTTCTGCTGACCTTCTAAGTTGTCTCTGGCATCTGTGGGCTGAGAAATCTGGGAACCGCCACTGCTGCCAGTGATTCAGTCGAGGTTCACTGGAGCCAGATCTGCACTTGTACCAGCTTTGGCTAGGCTTATGCTCAGCTGGGTGTAACAGACCCTTCCTATTGACCTTCCAGGTTGTCTTGGGCTGGGAATCTGCCTCACTCTATCTCTTTGTGACATCTGCCACACTCGAATTTGTTCAGAGTCACTTTTTAAAGGTATTTGAAGGGGTTTGAGAGAGAGTTCAGGTGAGTCCCTGCTTTCACTCTGACATCTTGGCTCCACCTAATAACTTTTAATTAAACTTCTTCTATAGCAGCTAGAGGGAGGGAGATTTTAATTCTGCTCCACAATGCCTTTGTCAGATCATATCTAGTTATCATATACAGGTCTGAGCACTGCATTTTAAATTAACAAACTGGAGCAAATCTAGAAGGAAACAACCAGAAAGGGGAAGGGGTGTTGGGAACTATACCATGTAGATATCACTTGAAAGAACTGACAATGTTTAGGAAGAAGAAGAAGAAACTTAGAGGTTATGCCTTGAAGTCTTCAGCCAGAGGCTCATTTTGAATTTTTAATAGAAGATTTTGAATAGAAGGCTATGAGGAGCAGTAAGGTCTATAATGGATAGAAAGCTACATTAGAATTAAGAAGATCTGGTTTCAAATCCTTTCTCTAACTCATATCAACTATATGACCATGGATAATTCACATAACCTGTCCATAACCCAGAAAACCTTCTAAAACTTCATTTCTGTGGAAAATATTGCAACCATGAATTTCCAGAGTTTCCACATACAGAGTTGCTGATCTGAATTGGTGAAGGAAGATTCAATGCTAGGAAAATGAAATCATAGGTCTGAATGAGAGACCCATAGAAGGAGAGAAAAAAGAGAGGAGAGAAGAAACAGAGAAACAGAGATGGACAGAGAGATAGGGATAGGGTGGGGAACCTATGCCCTCAAGGCCATATGTGGCCTTCTAGGTCCTTGGGTGTGGCCTTTTGACTGAATCCAAGTTTCACAGAACAAATCATTTTATTAAGGGGATTTGTTATGCAAAGTTTGGATTCAATCAAAGAACCACACTTGAGGACCTAGAAGGCCACATGTGGCCTCGAGGTCACAGGTTCCCCAGACAGATAAAAGTAGACACAGAGAAAGAGAGACAGAGAAAAAGAGAGACAGAGACAGAGACAAACAGACAGATGGTGTACTGGGAAGGAAAGATGTTTCCAACAGGGAGTTGGACTAGATGACTTTTAAAGTCCCCTCCAACTTTATTATTCAATGATACTATATATTATGTACTGTGGGAATATAAAACACAAACTGGAGCTTCTCTGCAGTAGTTCCAAATATACAAAGTTATCTAATTCATCACACTTTCTCTTCCTAAAATTACTCCTAAATGAAGGTGAAGGAATAGAAAAACAGGTGGTACACTATTATAGTACTTTGCCTTTGATTCCTTGGTATACTTAAAAAGCAGTCTGGGAAGGGATGGAAGAATAATATTAGGGAAGGAGGCAAAGAAAAGCCACACTGCTCAAAACATTTATTTTCACTCTTAAAATGTAAGTGCCCCTTGGGAGAATCAAGATTTACTTATGTATTACTGTAAATTACTTTAATTAGACAATCAGATATCTTCTGTACTAAAGTAATCAATTTTAATTGTAGTAGGAAGAAGAGGACATTTCAGAACTGAGGAGTTGGCCTGAGTAGGGTGTGAGACTTTGAGCACCCAGGAGAGGTCTGAGTGGAGCAGAGGAGAAGAAAGCAGATTATGGAAGAAGAGTTCAGAAAATTAAGCAACATGAAGGGTAACAGTGGGAGATAAGGCTCCTAGTTATTAGATTGGAGAGAGATTGAAGAGAATCTAGACTATCAGGATAAGAAGTTTCAAATTGATTCTGTTGGCAATTGAAAATGTTTGAGCAGGGAAGTCCAAGATACTTTGTACTTTTCCAGACACTTCAGAAAGATTAAATTGAAGAGTAGTGTGAGTTCCTTTTGGTGGAGTGAGGGGAAAGAGACTGAAAAAAAGTCAGTTAGGAGGCTATTGCAATATTGCAATTATTAGATGATATAGACCTGGATTAAGATGTTAATAATAAATTAGCATGATTGAAGAAGTCTGCAAATGTCTTACCTTTTCTGAAATTAATAGAGATAATTAATAACATTATATCATTACAGAGAAATAAATAACAGATAATATTGAAAGTGAGAAGTTTATGAAACTTTTATTTTATAACTTTTAATTATAATAATGGATAGCCCAGTGCCTGAGGTTTAAATGTGATTGTTATGCTCTAGTAGTCTATGAGAACAAGTGAGCTTCCTGAAACATCTCAATAAAGGCCAGAGAAAAATTTAGGACCCTTGAGCTGTTCACCTAGTAGTCAAATGTTAACATTTTCTACACTTTTCCTAATCAGTTTGCTTTAGTTTTTCTCTGTGTATTTTCTTCCCCATTGCTTATTTGGAACTTATCTCATGCCCTGTAACCCATTTGTTGCTTAATCCTTGTTAATCGATAATGTTATTGCTGAAAGATGATAAAACATGTTTGTGACACTTTTTTTGTAACCATAGGCAAAAAACTAATAAATTTAAGAATTGATGGTTTTAATTTCAACCTTTTAGACACAACTGCAGAGGAATCCATTACAGCTCCTCAGATGAAGCTTAAAAGAGCCCGACTTGCAGATGATCTGACTGAAAATATTGCTCTCAGACCAGGTCTCCTGGAGCTGGTGGAGAAGAATAGAATTCCTGTTGATTCAACTATGAAAGAGTCCATGAAAGGTAGTTAAAGCAAAAAGCAATTGTCTCCCACACTATATGGGCAGACGAGAGCTATTACTCTGTAACATTGCAAGATTGTCATACAATGTAGTTTTATGAAGTTATCCACCCACACAGGGTTCTTATATGTAACATAAGACAACTATTCTTATATCTTGCTACCCCATCTTTGTCCATATCTGCTAAGAGTTTTATTGCCAATGATAGTTCACATGCTTGATATAATTTATGGGGCTTTGGGAAGGCTCCCAATTTTTCCCAAATATTTCCAGATATTTCACTGTCCCTCAAATTCCATTATTGAGAGATTATTCATTGCCCTCTCCAAATTCTATTTTTAAATTAATACTCCCTAGCACTAAAAACTTTTTAAAAATTAATTTATTTTAAACTTAGATACTAAAACTTTAATTACACAATAAGAAACATATTGTAAACTCAAATACTAAAACTTAAACACAAAAGAAAAAAAACATTGCCATGTGCACAGCAGAATATAAGAGGATTCAAAATATACAGCAATAAATTTTCATTTCAAGAAAGCCTATAAAAGAAATACTACACATTGTGTTCAGAGCTATCCATCTTTTCTTCGCTTCCTTGTAAATTTTCTTTTGTTCTCTGCTATAAACTTTTTACTTTGTTCTTGTTTTCCCCTTTCCCCTAAGAAGGCTACAATTAAGCATGGAGATATGTATATATGTATGTATGTACATATATACATATGTACATATATGTGCATATACACATACATACATAAACTTACATATACTTAGATATCTATAATCATGCTCATATATAGACATATACCTTCACATGCATCTATATAAGACTGTACTATACTATACTCTGAGGGTGGATAACATCTTCCTTGATAAGTCCAAGTCTTTACATATTTTCCTAAGCCCACCAATTCATCATTTCCTACACCACAGAAATATTCCAACTTTATACTTTCTAGTTATTTTAAATAATCTAAAACAATATTGGTTAATATGGCTGATATACAGTGTAGTTTCCCTATTTTCCTTTTTTGATTAAATCTATTTTAGCTTTAACTTTGAGATCACGATTACTACCCCTGTTCTGATCTTTATTTTTATGTTTGTGTGTATCTCTTATTTCCTATACCTCCTGACTCCTCTACTTTACTTCTACTCACTACCTTACCCTCCTATTACTTAACCTACCCCCTTACCCTTTTCTTTCTATTTGAATTTAGAAGACTTTTATATTTCATAGCCTTTCAAATATATGTTATACCCTCTTTGTCCATTCCCATTTATCTAGATACCCTTCTATACCTCCCCATCCTATTTACTCACTCTCTTATTTCTTTGTAAATTTAGAAGAATCTTATTCCCTTCTAAATGTATAGATTGTTTTCTCCTTAACCCAGATCAGGTGTGAGCAGGGTTCCCTCTAAAAATCCTTCCCTTATCCTCTCCCTCCATCCCCTTACCCTTTTATTTCTTTCTGAATTTGGAAGATTTAAATATATATATATATATATATACACATATACACACACATATACACATACATACATATATGTATGTACACATGCATATATAGTGTATATGTGTATATGTATGTATTGTCCCCTCTTTGACTCATTCCTGATGAGAATAGGGTTCCAGAACTACCAGCCCTCCTCACCCATCTAATTCTTCTGTGTCACTTCTTCCTCTCACACCTCATTTGTATAAGATAATTACTCTTTTTACCTTTTCATAAACAGTTTTACTTTTTAGAATCACATCATACTCAGCTCTACCCCAATCTTTCTTTCCAACTACCCAATTACTAATAATAATCTTAGACATACATTTAACATTTCCTCATATAAAAAGTAAACAGTCTGTCCGTATTGAGTCCCTTGTAATTAGTCTTTGATGTGTAACTTTTATTTCTGTTGGATCTTATATGTCAAATATTCTATTAAGTTCAGGTCTTGTTTTTGGTTTTTTGTTTTGTTTTGTTTTTGCAACAAAATCCTGAAAGTCTGGCAATTCATTGAAGGTCCTTTTTTTTTTTTCATTCAGGATTAAGCTTAACTTTGCTGGGGTTTTTTTTTTTTTTTTTTTGGTATTTTTGGCTGCAACCCCAGGTCTTTTGCTCTTTGATATATAGTGTTCCAAGACCTGCAGTTTTTTAGTGTCGCCACTGCTAGGTCTTGTGTGATTCTAACTGTGGCTCCACCATATTTGAATTGATTCTTCATGTTGCTCATATTTTCTCTTCGAGCTGGGGGTTTCAGAATCTAGCCATGATATTCCTGTAAGTTTGCCTCATAGGATATCTTTCAAGTGGTGATCAGTGGATTTTTTCTATTTCTACTTTCTTCCCTTGTTCTAATGCTTCAGTACAATTTTCTTTAATTATTTCTTGTATTATTGTATCAAGAATCTTTTTTTGATTATAGCTTTCAGGTAGTTTGATTATTCTTATGTTTTCTCTTCTTGATCTGTTCTCCAGATCAGTTGTTTTTCTTATGAGATGTCTAATGTTCTCTTCTATTTTTTTCATTCTTTATATTTTGTTTTATTATTTCTTGGTCTTTTATAATTTTGCTGGCTTCCCCTTGCCTAATTCTAATTTTCAAGGAGTTGTTTTCTTCCTTAAGATTCTGAATCTCCTTTTCCCATTGGTTGACTTTTTTTAATAATCTTTTTTTGGGGGGATTTTTTTTGTTTTGGTTTTTTTCCCCTCAATCTCTTTCATTTGATTTTTTAAATCTTTTTTAAGTTCTTCTATGAATTCTTTTTGGACAGGTAACCATTTGACATTACTCTTTTTGGTAGAAGAGAGTTTCTTTGCTTTAGTATTCTCCTCTGAAGAGTCCTGGGGTATGGGAGATGGTGCCTCTGGTCTCAGATCCCCTTTCAGTTCTCCTCTCTAGCCTGGAATCAAAACTAAGAATTCCACCCTCCTGTAAGTGCCTACACCCATTGGTGTCCTGCCCCACTGCTTCTGCAGTCACCAGGTAAGTGTTGGTTCCTTCTCACCCAAGGCTGCATCTCGGCAGTACAGCTGGGCCTGGTGTTCCTAATCAATAGAGGTTCCCTCAATCTTTTCCTGCTCAGATGTCCAACTTCCCACACCATCTGGGAGGTGAAAATTCCTGTGGCTGAGGCTGAGACTACCTCCCAACCCAGGGCTTGCTGCTTGCTGATTCAATGTAACTAGCCTGGAAGTGTTTTACTACTCAATGTTCACCCTAAGGCACTATTTTGTCTTGTTTATGGGGAAAATCTGGAGAGCTTGGAATTTTCTGACCTACTCTGCCACTTTACTGGAATCCTCTTCTTATTAAAAACTTAATGTTCAAAATAATATAGTAGAGAGGGAGCCGGCCTCCAACAGGAAGACCTGGGTTTCAGTCCTGCCTCTGATATCTATCATAAATGTGACCCTGACCAAGTCATATAACCCCTCAGTGACCCAGATTACTTTTTAAATGTTGTATTTGCAATGGAAGATAGAATTTCCTTTCTGTGAATTCCTACACCAGCAAAATCACAGGTTAGTTAAAAAAAATTTTTTGAACCAATAGAACCTTGGAAGTGGGTATAGAGAAAAAGGAGAAGAGACTTAGAACTGCTAAAGACAAACATCTCATTTCACAATTTTGCCTGAGTGCAATTAACTTATATTAATAAATATCTATATTGACACCAATGTATAAAATGACAATGTTCATCAACAGTACTTAGTGCTGTTGAGTCTCTGCTTAGCCATCTATGGACTGTATACCTATAAAAGTAGTAGATTCTGAATCTCATAGTACCAGGTTCACTTCAGACTTAGTCCACCCTGAGGCCACTACATCTTCTTCAGAGTGTAGAACAATCAGTAAGGAAAGTTTTGACTTGGTTACACCGAGTCTATGAGAGAAGAGCTGACGAAATAAACCTTCTTTAGAAGTCACACCCAGTTGGGGGGACAAACTGCCAACCAATTTAAGAGGAATACACAGTTACAAATTGACCAGGAATCTTTAGGAATTGACCAGGAATTATGCCAGATAGCCCTTATTTTTAATTTCCTCCTCCCCCCAAAATGATCATTAATATACTTTTTTTTCTTTAAGAAGATAGACAGATCAATGAAGAACTCCTTCTTCCAATCAGTCCTTATATGTCCAGAGGAATTTCTCTGCGGAAGCTAAGAGAACAAACTTAGAACTTTAGAGCTGTGAGTGATCTCAGTGGTCATCTAGTCCAACTCCCTGCCTAATGTAAAGCTCCTATCATCCAGAGAAGGGAAATGAAGCATGACAAAGTTGACAGTCAATACTCCTATCCTCCAATCTCATGAATTTTCACTAAGCCAAAATATAGATCCTGTAGCCAGTTGGTCTAAGGCAGCGCTTCTTAAACTGTGGGTTAAGACCCACTGAAGGGGTTGAGAGTAGAAAAAGTTTAAGCCCTGGTCTAAGGTAAAATCCCAGTGAAATTTCTCTTCTACTAGAAAAAAAGTCTTCTCTTACACATGGATCTTCTTTTCCTTGGTCCTTCTCTCTCTGGGAATTAAATAGAGAAATTGAGGTGAAAGAGGTTAAAGAAATATTCCTCCCTTAATCGAGACCCTGTGAAACAAATACTGATTATATAATATATATTATTTTCCCCTTTTCCCTCCATATAAGCACTTCTGTTGTTGCCATGCTTTGTAGCAACTGAGGAGGACTAAATGGAGGAATGATAAGAAGTCTTTTTTCTTTAGGGAGGTGACTCTCACTTTAATTAAGCTTTTGATAAAACCAAGTGGGTATAGTTTTTTTCTCCACAAAATTATGGACAATATTGGCACTTAGAAAATACCCAAAATACCATATTCAGTTTTTTGAAATGGTGGCCTTCACAAAAAAGTCTTTGTACCAGACTTTTATTTGACATTGGGCTACATATAATAGTCCATATATATCAAAATCCTCCTAAAAAAGCATCTTATGGAAAAATACAACTTGTCAATTCCATGTATATGGTTTCTTCTTG